ACTGATAGTACTGTCTGCCCCTGTGCAGCGGATCATCAGATCACGCCGAAGATGGCCGCACAAGCTGTGGCTCCCAAGAAGACCATTTCCAGGGTCGAAGCCGAGAATATGGCTGTCCGACCTTTTCAGATCGCCGAAGGTCCGGTGCACTCAGCTCGCTTGGAGTATTCGCATGCCAGCATGTGGATGGCCATATGGGGGGTGGAACCAGTACCACCATCGACCCTGACCATCCGGAGTCGCTTCGCTTGTTTTACGAAGAGCTACCAGTGCAGACCGGCCTGGACATTGCCCTCAAGGCAAATCTGGAGGATCTCGGCGGTCAATTTCCCTGTCTGGCCAAGATGTCGCAAGTCAGCGACGAGGGTCTAGGACGAATCCAGCCCGGCTGTAGCCGAGGCCGTGAGAGAGCCCTGATCATCGTGAGCGACTCAACGACGGTCTTTATGGCAGGGAAAAGAACGTGGACCGATCTGAAGAAAGACCTGGAGGATCGGCAGAAGGGCCCACTTCTGCAACGCTACAAGGCCGTGAAATATTGCCCAATCTGGGGCGCTTCTCTCGGCCCCATCGTTGACAAGGTACATGAGCTCTTGCGCGAATGCATCGACGCTTCCGAGAGGCCCATGGACCTGCAGGTGGATATTTGTGTGGTGTGGATGGGGAATGATCTAGTCGGCACACGCGGGGTGTTCGTTGATCCCAATCTGCCATCGTGGAGGCAGAATGTCGAAAACGCCAGTGCCCTAGGCATCTGGTCCGACATTGCTTCCCGGGTTTGCGGGGAAATCGGACGTCTAGCCGTCTTAAAAGGCAGGCCGTGTGTCAACTCTGTGCAAATCCTGGGAGACGCCGCTCCGATCGATTACAACCTCCCGCCAGAGTACAGGGAGGCGATCCGGATGTTTTTCTCCTACGCACGTGGCCGCGGAATTTACACCGGCAGCTTGGAGAATGTCGTGGCTGAGATTCCCAAGTATGACGGGTACCATTTTCGCGAGGATAGCATTTACAGATCAGCCCTCACCAACGTCCTCGTCAACAGGATCCGATTGTGTCAGGTCGAGTCCACCTTTGCGCAGCTTCCGGAGGCGGACTATACGCGGCTGATGGCTGAGCACCCGTTTGACGCGAAGGCAGAACGCAAGTTCCTCATGCGCCACGTGTTCAGTCGGACTCTCCAAAGCCAGCAGATGTCCCGCCGCCTGAAAAGGCAGGCCGAGATGAAGGAAGCGCGCGAGCAGTGCCCCGACCCCTGGGAACAAACATGGATTCCTGAACCAGAGATTGCCGTGACAGGAATGAAGGAGGTAGAGGTGCCTGCGGAGCTGCGGGAGTGGCACTACGGTGTTCAGCGTGACATCGAGGCAAAGCAAAGTGGCTATGCCGAGGGCCAATCCCGCCCAGCACCAGCTGTGGCCGCATCATCCTCCGCCTTAGCCCCGCCTATGGTGACTGCATCCTTCGATGAGGTGATTGACGCCATCCCGTACAGGACCGAGGCTAGCCGAACCTTCTCGGCAGCCAAGGCCGCTCGCAAGGTCGAGCCAGCTGTGGAAGAGGCCAGCTCCTCTACAGCCCCGCCTAGCGGTGGCCGAAGGTTGCAGATCAATCCAAGCGACCTCGTTGGGTACAAGGTTTCGGATGATGACTACCTCAATGAGATGCTCGGCGCGGACGACAACAAGTTCTGCAGGCTCACTGGTGACAACCCCGAGCACGTGAAGATGCTCACCATCAAGCAGCCCGATATCCCGATGGATTATATCTTGAAGCCGCCGCGCTACGTCGACAAGGTGGCAAAATGGATCATTGGGGTGGTGAGGGGTTCGATCATGGAGTGCAGAAGCAGAGTGGGAAAGTGGATCAGAGTAGAGGAACTTTTGTTTCTTCTGAAACGCAAGCACAATGTCGTCATCGGCCCATCGGCCACCGAATGCGTCAAGCTGTGGTGGCGTATGACAATAAGTGCAGGTTCCTTCTTGCTGGTCACTCCGAGGATCCGCGCAACGAGTACATGGACAGTGGAGTGTGGCCGATCTGGGTGTCCGCAAGTCATGGCCATAGCGCACGCATCCAGAGTGAGATCGACGATGCTAGCATCGCCACAAGGTGGCTCGATCCCAGGAGGCGTGGCATCGACCAAGTTCCAGCCGCCTACAAAGGCAGGCCATTCTTGTGTCGAGGCGACGAGGACTTCCCTAACAGGCTCTATCACCGCACAACAAATGACGCTGCCTTCCAGATCCTCGAGGACGGGCTCATTCCAGGCTTCCGCAATTCAGGGAAGTATCATTGCTACTTTGCGAAACCAACCTTGGCGGAGCTTGGAAATAAAGCTGGTGTACGTGCTAACCTCCAAGTCGAACTTGTCTTCGACACGATCGAGGTTCTCAAGCATGCGTACTTGTTCGAGACAGAGTCCGAAGGCATCTTATGCAAGGAGCGCGTCCCTGGAGAGTGTGTGCTCTATGTCAGAGACGCTGCGAGCAACCAGACGCTTTGGACGCGGCCTTCTCCTGGGGACGAAGACGTCGAAGTCATCGTCGAAATCGCTGGTATTACCACGATGGAAGACGACGACGAGGCGGCGGATCCTTACAGCTTCCCCGAACCGGCCGAACCGGAGGAAGAAGCCGCGATTGTCTCGGAAGCCGTCCAGGAGCCGGAGGCTGAGGCAGCAACAATGGATGCCGATGATCCAGCCCCACTTAGTGGAGGCCATGGAGATGAAGAACGGGAGCCCATTCCTGAGGGGGAGCCCATTCCTGAGGAGGAGCCCATCCCTGAGGAAGAGCCCGTTCCCGATACCACGGATGCTCCGATGCCTGCAGCCCTCGAGTCAACAGAGGCCGAGAATGTTTGGAGACTGTTGGAAGAGGACGATGCTGCTGGCATCGGAATGCTCACACCTCCTGAGCCAAAGGAGGAATCGCCAACGGAAGACTTCCCGGAGCCTGAGACGGATGCAGCAAAGCCGGAAACGGCCGAGCCAGACGCATCCATGGCTCCCGCCGACATCAAGACGGAGGCGACAGAAGAGGCGGACGAGCCCGTTGCACCGAAGACCGAGCATGTTACGCGATCGGTCAATAAGATGCCTACGGAGCCGCCGCACATCATCCTGCCACCTCCAGCCCCTGCAACGGGAGGCCGTCGGCGAGCATGCCCTCAGTGCGGTACTGTGCACCTTGTTGGGCAAATGGTTTGTCTCCGATGCAAGGCTCAGTTGGCAAAGGCCACGGCCCAGAGCCAGCGTAAGCGCTTGAAGACGGATCGGTGGTTTCAAGAGCAGGCCGCAGCCCTCGCCACCGGAAAGGCCAAGTCCCGCCTCACAGTGGAGGAAGTTCTCGCTAACATCCGCAGAGAAGTTGGAGGACGAGGAGCACAGAGCCTAGATTCCGTCGCCATTGAAAAGGCTAAACAGATGCTCAAGTTGGCGGCAAAGCAAGGTTGCTCCAGCATCGTCGAGCGCTTCGAGACTGATGCTGAGTATACTGTGTCCTCCCTCAATAACGGTTTTGACCGGGACTTTTTGATGGTTCAGGACGTGCTCGTCAACGGCATCTTGCCTAATCTTGGCCGCAACCAAGTGCAAAGGACCCTAGGCACAGGCGTTCACGGGTCCGGGAGCTGGGATCGCCCCGAGTCCCCGGAGAGTGTCGCCAGACTGCTCTACCTGCATGAGTGTAATCCAGCCGCCTTAAAGGCAGG